GGGTCCACGCGAAGACTCCTGCAAGATCCTGCAGGATCCTGCGCCAAAGCCCGGGTCCATGCGACCCCCTGGCCCTGCAGGATACTGCAACACCGTCTCGAGGCTCCCGAGTGTCGGAGGGGCCGACCCCTCCAGGGGGCCCAGGAGTCCCTGGGGGAGGACAAACTCTTCTCCCACGGAGACTAGAGGAACAACAACTGAATAAACATGAGCCGGTGGCGCTCCGCGCGGATTTCTCGGATCCGCCCGAGCGTGGACGTGGACGCGCTCGCCGCTGTGGCTTTGGAGCGCCCGCGAGGGCGGCTGGGTGCCCTCTGGCGCCAGAGGCCCCGCCCCTCCCCTGCGCCCCTCCTCGTGGGCTTTCGAGAGCTTCGCCTCCCAGGTTCTCGTGTTGGTCGGGAGGGGGGGGTGGCTTGACTCGGGCCTGTCCCTCTCCAGGAGGGGTATGCAAAAATAGCCAAGCGAATGATAGTCAGGGGATTCTATATATATATATATATATATATATATATATATATATATATATATATAAAAATGTTTAATTTTTTTGACCATGTTTAAATATGTTGGGGGCATTTCCTAATCTTTCGTCCAACATCCGCCTGTAGGCGGACATGCCCGACCTGCCGGTTGGCCCCTGGCGCCGTGCATCGGCCCTCTTTCTGTGGACTCCGTGGGTCGGTCGAGGAAACCCTGCGCATGCCACGTTCTGTTCCTCTGTGGGAGCGGTCTGTCACCACCTACCAAACCACCCCAACCCAACCCGAAGGTCTCAATTAGCCCTCCATTTCCAGTGGGGGGGGGGTCGGGGAGCATTGAACAAACACAGATGAAACCCTTACCCCCCCAACCCGAAATTCGGGTCTTCGGGTTGGGTTGGGGTGGCCCGGTAGGTAGCCAGTCTGGGGCGCTCTGGAGCGATTGGTGCGCGCCTAGTCGGGCGGGGGAGCGGGGGATACGGGGGGAGGACCAAGACCCCGGGGTGAAGAAGAGGCCCCCCAACGGGGTGAAGAAGAGGCCCCCCAACGGGAACCTGTAGGGCCGCTTCGGAAGCCAGCAGGGGCCCCGGAGGAGGAGAAGGAGGAGGAGAAGGAGGAGGAGGAGGAGGAGGAGGCCGCAGAAGGCCCCTCTGGGCCATTTCCCCCCCCCCCCCCTGATGTACAGTGGGGGCCCATGCCAAGAGACACCCTGCTTGCCTCCAGGGTTCCCTGGGTCTCTCGGGCTTCGATGGTTTCGCCATGGAAAGCGCGACGCTCCCACTCCCGCACCAAGCATCCATGGACGTCCTGGGGTCCCAGGGTTGGGCTTCTCGTGGAAGGGGCTCTTGTGGACTGGCCTTCACCGCACAGGTCACCCCCCACTGCCACTCGCCCGATACTGGGCGGGCCTGGCAAGGAGAGGAGGACGGATCGATGGCGAAGCGGTCCCGACGACGGCGATGTCGCACGCAGGCGCAGGCTTGAATTCGGACGTCCGCGAGGGCGGCCGAGTGCCACCAGCGCCAGGACGCTCCCCATTCCTCCCCTCGCGGAGGACAGCACAACTAACACAGACCCCCAGCCAGACCCTCAGAGGAGGAAAGGGTACCCATGCCGCTACCCTTGCCTCGAATTTCCCCTTTTCGGGCCTCTTGGGAGGCTCTCGTCGTCACCGCTGGATTCGCCTCGAAGTCCTAGTCAGAACGCACCCCAGAGAGGTCCGGGGAGTAGCGGTATCGGAACCTCTTGGCTTCCCCAAGGACCCCTCTTCCGACATGCTGAGCGTCCAAGGGCCTTGCATCCTTATCGCGCATCCTTACTTTCTAATGGCCTCCAGCCCATCCTGCCACCGTGCCTGGTTGTGGGTATGAAGCTTATTGAATGTTCGTTGGAATCTCGCGGGAGGCCTCTCGGGGGCCTCTTGGAGGTAGTTTTGAGGCCTCGTGGGGGCCGTCTTGGGGCCTCTTTGAGGCCTCTTGGGAGCCTCTCGGGGCCTCCGGGGGGCCTCTTGGGGCCTCCTGAGCGCCTTTAGGTGCCTCCTGCGGACCTCTTGGGGCCGAAGTCTCGGATTTTCGGTACGTGTTCCCTTTCTTGGGCCCCTTTGGGAGCTGTCTTGGGGCCCTCTGAGGCCGTCTTGGGCGCCTCTTGGGCCGTCTTGGAGCGCTCTTAGGCCGTCTTGGGGCCGTCTGCGAGGCCTCTTGGGCTGTCTGGGGGTGGTTTTGGGGACCTCTTGGGCCGTCTTAGAGCGTTAGACAGGCGAGAAGGCTAGAATCCGAGCGTCTTTCAAACCCAGTGCTTTTGCCTCTTGGGGCCCTCTTGGGAGGCGTCTTGGGAGGCGTCTTGGGAGGCGTATTTGAGGCCTCTTGGGGCGTCTTGGAGGCCTCTCGGGCCATCCTGAGGCCGTCTTGGGCGTCTTGGAGCGATCTTTCGGCGACACGGGGCCCTGCAGGGGCCTCGTCGGGCCCTCCTGGCCCGTCCTGAGGCCCTCTTGGGCACGAAAAGTCATGCGAGAAGATGCCGGGAAACCCAGAGGGCACGCGAGAAGATTTGGGGTCCGGGCCCCTGAAGGACTCCTCAGCAGTGAGGACTGGCTTAGAGGATGTGGGAAACGACCTGATGGCACGCCCACTCCGTGCCCGCAGACACGGTGGCGGATCAGTCTTGACTGTACAGTGCCGTTTTTAATACATGCTCCGCGTGCGGATCATGCATTACAAATGCAGGGATTTAGTATTTAACACAACGATGAGTTCATGCATAAATTTATTCATAAATGAATCATGTATCTAAAATCCAATATGTTTAAACATCCTATGTGTTTAACACTGCCCTGTAGGGCGTGTGGGCTAGCGGCGGGCCCCTGTTTCCATACGAGGTCGCCGCGCTCCGTCGCCAAGGGGCGTGGCACCCGCCTCCGTTCTCCGGGGCGCCTCCCCCGATCCGTGCATCAGGCGCCCGCGCGCCCGATCCACGGGTCCGCAACCCTTGCTAGTGATCCTCCTCCTCCTCCTCCTCCTCCTCCTCCTCCTCCTCCTCCTCGGGGTAGACGAGAGATAGACATGCTTCCTCGGAGGTCGGGGCGGCTTTCTGGCATCCGCGCTGGGCTCCCCTGCCGGCGCCGCCCCTGGCGCCGCCCCTGGCGCCCTCCACCCGCCAGGGAGGGGGTCCAGCGCCGATCCAGGAAGTCCGCGCGGACCTCCGAGAGTGCATGCTTGTGTACCTTTTCCTCGATGCCTCCGCACCAGGGCTGGACCTGAGCGCTGTTGTGCTGGACTTGGGCTGCGCTTTGGTCTTCTTGTTTGGGGGGAGGGAGGTGCAGAGGACACCGGGTCGAGCCAGGCGCGAAGCGACGCAACAAGGCAAGACGAAAAACGACGTTGGGGTCCAGCCCTGCTCCACACAGGAGGGAAAGCCACACAGACACACAGGAGGGGAAGACAGAAACCGAGAAAATATAAGAAAATATGGGGAACCCTCTTATTTGTGTGTATTTATTTGTGTGTCCCAGGGCCCCTTCATCCACACCCTCCTGCCTGGCGAGGGCGGGATGGTTCTACACCAGCGGGAGGCAGTGGGAGTCCGTCCGGAGAGGGGCTCTGGGCAGGCTACAGGTGCGCTCGCGCCGCGCCTGACGTCCTGACCCCCCGCCCGTACGGTAGGTCCGCGTCGTGTCGACCGGCGGCGACCCCGCCGCCGGCGTTCAACGTTGAACGCCGCCGGCGACCCGGAGTCGGTCGATGTTGAACGATCTGACCGTTCTCGAAGAAGAACAGGTTAACATAAACATAAACTTGCGGCGCTCCGCGCGGGTTTCTCGGATCCGCGCTGGGGCCCTCTGGCAGCGCCTCTAGCGCCGCCCCTGGCGCGCTCCGCGCGCTAGGGAGGGGGGCCCAGCGCAAATCCAAGACATCCGCGCGCACCGTCGAAAGTTAATGTCTGTTTTTTTATTTTTCTTCCTCTAGTTTTGGGAGCGGGTCGATTGTTCAAGGCTGAACGATCCCCGCGGGGTTAGGAACCAACGCCGGGGTCGGTTCGGGTGCAACTCCTGGGAGGTCAAATTCTGATTTAGGCCTGGTCCGAAATCCGGCTTAATCCAGCTTAATGCGGCCTAATCCCGCTTCATCCGGCTTAATCCCGCTTAATCCCGTTTAGTCCGGCGTAATTCCGCTTAATCCCGTTTAATCAGGCTGAATCCCGCTTATTCCGAGGCCCACTCCGGCGTAACAGCCCCCCAACGGGGCCTAATCCTCCTTTCTCCTTCCGACGAAGACCTCCCAGTAGTTGCCTCCTAAGGTCGGCACGACACGAATCCGCGGTGCCTCCTCGCTTCGCCGACTCTGCTCCGTCCGCCGACGAGGGTATTTTTAAGGACCGCGGGGGGGGCAGCAGCTGCCGCGTGCGCCCGATCTCATTGCCACCGCTGGGCACACATTCTTCGCTGCGTTCCGCTTCTCGGGCCGAACGAAAGGGGGGGATAGGGAAAGGGGGGGTTACGAAATCTGCCACATGCAGCTGGTTTCGGCCCCGCCGCCGGGCCCATTCCTCGATACATGGGCGCCTGAGGCGCCGGGAAAATCAGCTGCGTGAGCTGATTTTCAAACCCTCCCTTTGCTATCCCCCCCTTTCGCCTGGCCCGAGCGTCTGGCCTGAAGTCGGGCATGTCCTCCTACAGAGGGAATCTTCAGAATTAGGTAAAGAAACAATATGGGGACGATTTCTCAACCATTTTTGGACTACTTCTGGGTTTTTTTTTTTTTTTTTTTTTTTTTTTTTTTTTTTTTTTTTTTTTTTTTTTTTTTTCTCCATTTTTCATCCAAAACCGGCCTGCAGGAGGACACGCCCGACCCAATTCTGGCGCCGGGAGGCGTCGGGAAGTCCGGCTGGATGCGGCATGTTCGCTACCCCCCCCTCTGCTAGCACCCTCTTCTCTCCGACCCAACCCGGCTCTTCTGGCCTCCTCCTCCTCCTCCTCCACCTCCTCCTCCTCCTCCTCCTCCTGTGGGCGCGGCGCGCCTTCCTGAGGACCTCTCGGCCTCCCTCCTCAGCACCATGTTCGAGCTCATGGAGCTCAGCCCCAGGGCGGCGTTCGAGTTCGCGTGGGGCTCGTGCCCCCCCGTGAGCGTCCAGAAGAAGCAGTCGCTCAAGAAGCTCGTGAAGGACGTCACCGCCAGCAACGGCGACGCCTACCGCTCCTTCTTCTCCGAGGCCACGTGCTGCGGCTTCATGTCGGAGCTGCTGGCGTTCGCGGACATCAGGTGGTCGGACGCTATCGATCCGCTCGGCGTGGACGACTTTGTCGGTATGTTCAAAGAGTACATGGGCACGATCTCGGGTGGTATCGACAGCAACGGCATCACGCAGAGCTGGTTCCGCTGCTTCGGTGCCCTCGGCGGAGAGCACGCCCTGGTGCTGAATTCCTTCGGGGTGGACACCCGCAAGGTCATCCTGGCCACGAGCCCAGACGAAAGCAGGGTCGCGCAGATCGTGGTGAATTACGAGCTGTGGGACAGGCGCGACGTGGATAAGTTCGAAAAGCAGTTCTGCGACGAGCCCTGAGCCCCTCACGCCAGCGGTGCCCGACCCCGCAGACTCCTCCCGCTCTTCGCGGGGTGCCTCGCCCAGACCGCGCAGCGCGCAGTCCTGGGCGCCTGGGGCCTTCTTGGGAGCTCCTTGGTGGCTTCCCGGGGGGCTCTCGGAGCCTTTCGGGGGCGACTCGCGCCGTCTCCGGGCGGTTGACAGCAGTGCCCGACCCCGCAGATCCCCCTGGTTTGCCGCCACCTTCGGACGGGGTCCGTTCCAGAGCGTTCTGGTACGCTCTCAGAGCGTTCGGGAACGCTGTGGGAAGGCCGCGGCGCCCGAGACCTCCTCCTGGACGGCCAGACCTCAGAGATTCTCGATTTCTCCTCCCCCGATTTTCTCCTCGTCCGGGCTTCGTTGTCTCGGTGGCCACATTTGAACCCGGCCCTACCCCGCCCCCCAAGATTTCTAAGGGGTGTGTGTGGGTTCACTTCGTCTGGGAGCTCCCGAGCGGAGCGAACCCCCACTACCCCCTTAGAAATCGTGGGGTTTGGGGGTAGGATTCACCTGTCCGAGGCGGGAATTTCTGCATGGCCACCGCCTGGAGGAGTCGTTTTCGGGGACCTCGGTGGGCGGTGGATATGGATATATTCGGTCCCCCCCTGGGGCCAGCTATATCCACATCCACCGCCCGCTGGGGCACCAGGACGTCGGTTCCCAGGCGGTAGATATGGATAAGTCCCCGCATCGGAACGTGTGGCCACCTAACCTCTGCCCCTCTCGCACGAGGAGCTGCGGCGACCCCTGGCGGTCCCCAGAGGCCCACACGGCCCCCGTATCGGAACATGTGGCCACCTAACCTCTGCCCATCCCGCACGAGGTACATGCGGCGACCCCCGGCAGTCCCCAGAGGCCCACACGGAGGCCCACGGGGGCCTGCAGCGGCCCCACCTCCCCTGCGTTCCCCTCCTCCCGCCATCTCTTTCCTTGGTGAGGAGGGGGAGGAGGGAGGAGGGAGGAGGGAGGAGGGAGGAGGGAGGAGGGGGAGGAGGAGGAGGAGGAGGAGGGGGAGAAGGAGGAGGAGGAGGAGGAGGAGGAGGAGGAGGAGGAGGAGGAGGAGGAGGAGGATCAGGGGGAGGATTATGATGATAATGGTGATAATGATGACGATGCTGCTGCTGATGACGATAATGCCGCTACTGGTGATGACAGTAATGACGATACTGACGATGATGACGGTGATGACGGTGATGATGAGACGATGACGATGCCGATGCCGATGCCGATGACGACGACGATGCTGATGATGATTATTGTGATAATGATGATGCCACTGATTCTGATTGTGATGATGGCGATGCTGCTGATGATCATGATGCTGATTTTGCTGATGAAAATGATGATGCTGTTGCTGATGATGAGGCTGGTGATGATGAGGATGAAGATGGTAACGCTGCTGCTGCTGATGATGATGATGATGATGATGATGATGCTGATGCCGATGATGATTATTGTGATGCTGATGAGTATGCTGCTGCTGCTGCTGCTGCTAATGGTGATGATGCTGCTGATGATGACGATGATGATGACGATGCTGATGATGACGATGCTGATGATCGTGATGATCGTGATGATGATAATGCTGCTGCTGATGATGATGATGCTGACGATGTTGATGTTGATGATGATGACGATGACGATGACGATGACGACGACGATGATAATGATGACGGTGATGATGATGAGGATGCGGCTGCTGCTGATGATGATGATGATGCTGGTGGTAGTGGTTATGGTGATAGTGCTGATATCACTGATGATGTTGATGACGATGATACTGATGAGGATGACGATGATGATGATGATGATGATGATAATGATGATGATGGTGATGGTGATGATGATGATGATGATGATGCTGTTGATGACGATGGCGATGATGCTGATGATGACGATGATGCTGCTGATGATGATGATGCTGATGATTATGATGACGATGCTTATGCTGATGCTGATGATGATTACGCCGCTGCTGACGATGCTACTGATGATTTTGATGCTGCTGATGATGATGATGATGATGATGATGACGATGATGATGATGATGATGATGATGATGATGATGATGATGATGATGATGATGATGATGTTGATGACGATGACAACGACGATGCTGATGATGATGATGATGCTGCTGCTGCTGCTGATGATTATGATGCTGATGATGACGATTTGGATGATGATGCTGCTGCTGCTGATGATTATTTTGATGATGATGATGCTGCTGATGATGATGATGAGGAGCAGGATGAGGATGATGAGCAGGATGATGTCGATGACGATTATGATGACGCCGAGGATGATGACGATGCTGATACTGATGATGATGTTGCTGATGATGATGACGATGATGATGATGCTGATAATGCTGATGACGTTGTTGTTGATGGTGTTGATGATGCTAATGATGCTGATGCTGCTGATGATGCTAATGCTGATGATGATGATGATGCTGATGATGATGATGATGCTGATGATGATGATGAGGATGATGATGATGATGATGATGATGCTGATGCTGATGATGATGATGATGATGATGATGATGATGATGATGATGATGATGATGATGATGTGATGAGATGATGTGATGATGATGATGCTGCTGCTGTGATGATGCTTCTGCTGCTGTTGACGATGCGGCTGTGTGATGATGATGATGAGAGGTGAGGAGGAGGAGGAGGAGGGAGGAGGAGGAGGGGGAAGAAAATGAGGAGGATGAGGAGGAGGGGGAGGAGGACAATGACGAGGATGATGATGATGATGATGATATGATGATGATGATGATGATGAGGAGGAGGAGGAGGAGGAGGAGAGGTGGAGGAGGAGGAGGAGGAGGAGGAGGAGGAGGAGGAGGAGGAGGAGGAGGAGGGGGATGGCCAGGATGGGGCGGATGTCGCAGGGGGTGGCGGCAGGAGGGGAAAACGGGAGATGTGGAGTACAGGCCTCCTCCGTTGTCGTCGGCGTCGCCGTCGTCGTCGTCTTCGTCGCAGTCACTGCGTGCTCCTGCTCCAGCGCTGCAGCCACAGCGAAACCGAACCGAAACCTTAAGCGCGCCCGTTCAGGGTCGGCGGCTCCGGCCGTAAGGCCTTCCTCGGCTATCCTTGTAAGTGCGGGAAGCTCGTAAAGTGCTCGTGGGCTTGAGTTGTAATTGGCTGAGGGGGCGCAAAGGGACCCATGTTACAAAAATCCGAGTACGGAAAAAGTTCGAGGCCAATGTTTTTGCAAAGTTCAAGTTCAAAGTTGCGATAATCCGGAAGTCTGGACAAGTTTTGGAAAGTTCGGTGGCGAAGAAGTTCCACATATCTGGAGCGCGTGTGAGCTTTTCGTGAACTTCCGATTTTTTTTCGAACTTTTGCAGAATTTGTTTCGCAATGCTTCCAAGTTGTTTCCGAAGTCTGTTCAAACATTTGAACTGTTTTTCGGTCTCCCCCTGAACTTTCGAACTTGTTCCGAATTCTTGTTTCCCTTGGTTTCCGAACTCGGACTTCTAACTTTCTCCCCGCCCGAACCCAGGCCCAACCTTTCTATTTTTCCAGGGAAGCCCATCTCTCCTCTCATCAGCCAATTACAAGCTTAGAGGAAGGGGACCTTCGCGGATTATGACTTCACGCGCTTGCTGGCCTCGAAGGGGTCGACGGTTGTAACAGTATAGTGGCAGGGCTGCAGCAACTCGTTGCAGTTCGAGCGCTCGCTCTCATGTGTGTCTCAGAAGAAGCACACTCGAATATTTCAGCGGATTGCTGGCGGATGTTTGGCATGTCGATGATCAGCCCACCATCATGTTGACCTCGGTTCCATCATCCCCCTTATTGCCATCCTGATGCGTGCTCCAGTACTTGAGCTTGGGGCATGGGCGACCAGGTCTTCACAGACACCGTTGGAATATGTGCGGACGATGTGGTCCTGTTGTATGCTCGTGTACGGTCGCTTCTTGGGGGAAGTTCGTGATAGTCCTCAGCTCCCCAAGCAGCAACTTCTGTTGGATCCGATGTGACCAGCCAGTCCTGGGGGGCTTGTCTCGAAGAAGGAAAAACGCCAGAAACATACTCTCTGGGCGCTCCGCGCGGATTTCTTGGATCCGCGCTGGGCTCCCCAGGGGGTGCAGCGCGGATCCAAGAGCTCCCGTTTTCTGCTCTTTATTGTCAGGCAATCATGGGATACGACCGCGGTGCCCCCATGCACCGCGGTGCCCCCATGCACGGCCTGGGATACGACCGCGGTCCCCCCTGGGCTTTCCAGATCTCTCTCCTGGAACGGCCGCGGTGCCCCCACGCATCCCTCGGACCCGCCGGCCCTCGGAGCTCACGCTCCCGGGCGTGCCAGATCGACCGCGAAGCTTCTCGGAGCCCTCTGTCACGGCCGCGGTGCCCGATCCGTCCCGTCTCCCGCCCGCAGGGAGCTGCGACGGCGTCCAAGGGGTGCACCACGGTCCTCGCCCCTCCCCTCCCTTCCTTCCTTCCGCATGCTCCGCTTCTCCTCCTCCTCCTGCCTCCGCCCCCCTCTCGCCTGCAGTCGGGTCGCTGAAGAAGGAACCCTTTTCATTGGGGAGGGGCTCCGTGTTCCTTCATTGCTTCACGGCTCGACTCAGGCTTTTCTCATTCGAAGTTTAGCTTATGGAAAGAAGGGGCCTCGCTCCTTATTTGGGGTTCCCTAGGTCAACGCCCCGACTGCAGCCCCCCCCCACTTTCCCTCCCTCTCCTCCTTTCCCTCCCTCTCCTCCTCTTCTCCTTTCCCCCCACTCCTTTCCTCCCTCTCCTCCTTTCCCTCTCCTCCCTCTCCCCCCCTCCTTCCCTCCCACTTTCCCTCCCTCTCCTCCTTCCCCCCCCCGCCGCGGGCGGGGCAGAGCAGGGGCTGGGGGCGCGCCCGCAGGACGAGGGCATGGCGCAGAAGGCGCGCGAGGCCGCGGAGAAGCCGGGGGCGAACCCGTGGAGGGGCGGAGGGTCAGATCGGGCACGTCCCTCTACAGTCAGGAGGGA